CGTTCTACATAGTCTCCCTGAACACAAGACCAAGTTGCGACAACGAGGTCAACCCACTTCTACAAATCATATAATTTTATTTGAATTGTGATTGCAGTTTATATATCGTCGGCGTACAGCCTTATGACAGATGAATTCCCCATGTTATTTATTGGGGGAACCGATTTTCAGCTAGATCCGCATTAATATTGACAATTCGAAAGAATTTTAGAATTATTGCTAGCTACTCACTTAATTAATAAGATACCTCATTACGATCTAAAAATTAGGTTACAAGAATTAGGTGGGATTTTAAATGGCCTCTATCCTTGGCCTAGTGTTTGGAGAAGCTTGTTGAGTTATGTATTTTTACTATTTAATGATGTATGCCACTGCGGTGAGAATAAAAGTTCAGCAAAATTATATCAGCTTTTCAAAGCAGTGTGCTGAAGATTTCAATGCATAAGTCAACAGTCACGTTTCACTTGGTTTCCCGTGAAGCTGTTTTACCACTCCCTTCCGCAAAACTCTTCATACAAGATTAATAATCCGGTGACATTTCATTTTGCAGTCGACAAGGCTTAAAAAGTGTATCTACTATCTCGTTCTCTCCTCTATTAAGTACATGGTCAGTACGGCCAGATTTATCCTCTCGATCGAGAATGTCTCCACAAATTTAAAGTAAAATTTGGGGTTTTAATTACCCTTTTCTTTTAGGCAGTCGTAAGTCCCCAGTTAATTGGACCGAATCAGCTTTTTCCTGGATTTTATCTGATTTAAAACATATAATAAGAATTGTATCGACGTAAATATTCAAAGGATGGCACTTTCAATGTTCGATTTTTGTGAGATAAAGAGCTAATATTATAATTTTCCGTCTTGATCTTGTAGATAACGTAATTTTTTAATCAATTAATCGGATTATTTCACAATTCCTGGATAGAGCTAGTCAGAATCTGCTGTTTCTCTAGTTATCCCTATATTGCGCTCCCTTTTGTAGAATTTTAATTTCTGCTCTTATTTATTTTTCTAATTCTGAGAAAAAATTACTTTTCAGAACAGCTTCTTATAACATTTTCATTTCTTCCGGACTTTTGCTTTCTCGTCTTAGCCTTTTTTTCATGAGCTGGCTAAGACCTAGCCAATTTCTGCCTTTTCTTCCAACGTCATATTAACTATAAGACTGGGCTTCTCTCATTCATCCCTAACAAAATCTTGGAAAACCGAAATAGTCATTTAAAAAATCCATATTGTTTGCATAAGCTACTATTTCGGAGTTCATCAACGCTGACCTAAATATCCCTAATTCTATCACATGTAGAATATTTTCCTGTCTTTTGCTAATATACTTCTTACCTCACTCGCCTTGTGTATTTTTTACTTTTCCTCTTCTCGGTACCCCCAGTCTTCAAATCCTGGTCGAAGTTGTAAGCGACGCCTCCAACGCTTTCGCTGCCAAATGAAGCGAGATCGAGCTGAAGCAGAACAAATAGTCGCAATGGCATCACGTCCATCTTCCCTCGCTATACTTAGCAACTCGTCAATAACTCAACATTCCTGCATGCCCATTAATGGAGGGATCAACCAGATCAAATCGGGTATGCAATCTTGCTGGTTCCTCTGAATTAAGATATGACTTTTTGGAATATTTGAAATCCACAGCAATTTTAGTTGGGCGAAATTTTGTGTTATTTTACTGGCTATGAGTTTTTATATTAAAAGGTTAATATTTTCGAATATATTTTTGTTACCTTTTATTTAAGGAGCTATAGGCCTTTCCAGCTCGTCCTTATCCGATCAAGAAGCAAGCCACAATTTAAATTGGAAACTGGAGAATGAGCATGAAGACTTGATAAATCAACCTTTTGATCGGTCTCCTAGCCTAGCCCCTCTTACGAGCTCTGCGAATGCCAAGGATGATGGCTACATCCTGTCTAAATCCAAAGCTGTGATGGCCACTCCCGAGGCCAACACTAGGGCTAGTCTTCAAACTGCCATCGGTAACAGAGTTTTGGTGGGGGCCGATCGGACTATCTCCTGCAATTCTGATCCGTTGCAAGCCCGGAAACTCTCCACTTCTGCCCATTCAATTCCCCCGGCTTCAAATGTATACTCAGCCTGGACGGTTCCCATTTCGAGCCTCCAGAGCCTGGAGACGTCAATCGAAATCGCAGGAGTGGGGGGTTATGATTCGATTAATATAGATCCTCTAAAGCTACACCAGCTCTTCACCAGAAAGGCCAATGAGCTTTCCTCTCAATCCCTCTCTTCCTCCTGCTCCTCTACTGCCCCCGCTGATGTTCAACCCGAAATCCCGGACTTCAACACTAACACCTCTTCTGGTGATTCGCCTAATAGAGTGTCCGTGAACGAGGTATTTTCCATTCGTCTATCGACTGACCAGCTCAAATGGCTGACATCACCATCTAAACGGGGACGAAAAAGCTTGACCGAGGATTCAGGTGGGTCTATGTCTTGAATTGCTTTAGCAGCCTTATTCTGATAGGTGAACTGAATTATGACACCATGTGATAAAGGGAGGGATTATTTGACAGTTCTTTTTTCTCCTTTTCATTCGTAGGTGATAAAATTTCTTGAAATCGAATGTTAGACTCTTTAATTAATTGGCTCCATAGTTAATGCTTAAGTAGCGGGTACTATAAAAAGTGGGTACCTATTCTTTATTTTCTATTTCACTTTATGAGATTTTTTATTTGCCTGTTAGCCATTCAGGTGGTTTAGGCATGATCTGGATAATAAACCTATCTATCATCATTTAGATCATGTGGTTTCACGACGGTTTCACTCTTGCCTAAGTTGTTATCACAAAGCTCCTATGCGTCTTGGTTCTGCCTTTTTGCCCTTTTGGTTTTTTATTTTATTTTCATTCCACACGAGTATTTCGAAGGATGGTATCTCCCTCTTTTCAGAAAACTATGCTGGAAATTATTGAAATGCGAAAGACTTAAATTAATGTGGCCATAGAACTCTCCAACCTATCTCCATATCCTTATTAAGTAGGCTTACAAACTACCAATAGACTTAGGCGAGATGGAAACTGTAACCCACTCTGGATGAAAATACCTTTTGGGAATCAAGGTTATCTGAAATTAAATGGAAACATGAGGCCTAACTATGCAATTATGGGACAATTCAATTATCAGATCTTCATCGCATGCGTTCTAGGATGAATACAGCTCTTATCTCTATACTTTGACGGCCTTTTCCGAAGTTCCAGGTGTTTTAAATCCAAATCTCTTCCTAGTAGGTTTCGCATTACTTTAGTGCCAGCTGTTGGCATTCATAACTATTCTTTATTGTGGTGGTTAACCGAAAAATTAAAACTTTTATTTGTAGTGACATACTATAAGACTGCAGTTGCTATAGCGCGGTTAGTGTTTCGATATCTGGCTATCCTAGTTGCCTCTAGTATGTTGCATTCTGATTTTTCATTTCTGAATCAGGCTTCTGCCTTGGGTACCCCAGATGCTTTAAAGCGAAATTTTATTATATAATATTTTGGTGTTTAGGTTTAGTTTAATTAATATTCCGAGTTGTTATATTAGCTTGATG